TCTTAATGTCTGGATTGTTGAGTAGGGTCACTGGTTACATTTATATCATGATCTCAGTCACCAGGGAGTTACCGGTGTGAACTCCACTGGATGACGCTGTTGGACGGGCGTGACACCAGAATGGCTCTTGATAAAGTTTTTGTGAAGTGTGTTAGCAAACAATGTAATATTTTTATAAAAATGCCCATGTAGTTACTTATAAGGATGAAAAGGGTTGGGTTTTTGTTTTTTTTAAAAAAAAACCCCGATTTACTTGCCTGAGTCAGTATGCCTACAAGGTTAAATTTTTCTGTGAATTTACCTTTTAAACCTTCTGTTTATGCTTGAAAGCTGTGCTGGGCTAGTGAGTAAGAAGTTGCACTGCCAACCTGAGAGTACGCTGTTCAAATCTACTGGGTTCTCTGAGGGAGAAAGATGGGCAATCTCCTTCTGTATGATTCACAAGCTCTGAAATCTCACTGGCAGGTCAACTGGGAGTGCTCTAAGTCGGTTCCCACTCCATGGCACTGAGTAAGTAGAGAAGTGCCCAAAGACTGTGTGGATCACAACAAATTGTGGTTGACTCTGAGAAGAATGGGAATCCCAGAACACTTGACAGTGCTGATGTGAAACCTATACTTGGCCCAGGAGGCAGTCCTCAGAACAGAGCAAAGAAAAACTGGATGGTTCAAAATTGGGAAGGGTATACACCAGGGATGTGTCCTATCTCCACACCTTTTCAACTTATATTCAGAACAGATTATCTGGGAGGCTGGGCTGTATGAGAAGTGTGGCATTAGGATTGGTGGAAGATTCATCAACAGTCTGCATTATGCAGAGGACACAACCATGCTTGCTGAAACTGAGGAAGACTTGAAGTGCTTGCTGCAGAAGGTCAAGGACTGCAGCCTTCAAAATGGATTGAGGCTCAATATCAAGAAGACAAAGATTCTCACCACTGGGCCAATTGGCAGTATCATTATGGATGATTGTTAACAGCTTTAATTTGCTTGGCTCCACAGTTAACACTCTTGGCACCAGCAGCCAGGAAATTAGAAGATGTATTGCAATTCTAATGTTAGAGACCTCTCCAAAGTACTGAAGAGCAGTGGTGTCACTCTGGAGACTGAGGTGTGCCTGATAAAGGCCATGGTCTTTGCAATCACTTGCTATGCATCAGAGCTGGACAATGACTAGGGAGGGTAGAAGGAGAATGGATGCGTTTGAGCTGTGGTGTTGGAGAAGAGTATTGAATGTACCATGGACTGCTAAGAAAGCAGGTTCTTCCTGGAGAGGGTTAAACCAGGCTACTCCTTGGAGGCAAGAATTCTGAAGCTTTGACTGACATACTTTGAACATGTTGCAAGGAGGGACCAGTCCCTGGAGAAGGACATCATGCTTGGGAGAGTGGAGGAACAACGCAGGAGAGGAAGACCCTCTATGAGGTGGATTGATTCAGTGACTGGAGTAATGGGGGCAGGTGTGTCGGAGTCAGTGAGATTGGCACAGGACAGAGCAGGGTTTAGGACTATTGTACATAGGGTCACTGTGGTTCACAGGTGACTTGATGGCACATAACAACAACCCAAAGACTGAGTGAGCCTGGCTGATAGTTCGAATCCACCAGCAGCTTTGTGAAAGATAGACAGTCTCTTCCGGTGCAATTTATAGCCTCAGAAACCCAGTGGAGGGTCAGCTATGTATGAGTCAGTTCCCCCTTGACTGCAGGGAGGGATGAGTGACCTGTTCTCAGGTGTGAGCTGTCCCCATTACCCGGTTAGTTACAGGGTGCTGTGAATCATGTGCTTTTTGTCTCAGCACTTAGAAGCACCAAACTGTGGCAACTGGTATCTGTGAACCTAGATCAGTATCTCTTTTTTTTTTCTTTAGAATGAAATCATAATTAAAGGAAAAGAAAAAAAAGGGAAAATAAAGACTTCTTCTTAGCTGCCTGTAATGTTGCTAATAATGTGATTAGATATAGAAAAATTTGAACAGTTGTGCTGTTAGTATCCATATAATCTAAGAAATAATACGCTTAAACAGTTTACAACTATGTCACATACTGTTCTATGATTAAAATTTATAATAAGCATTAGAATGGAGTCTATGTGGTCTGGGATTTGAGGAGGCCTGTGATGGGAAAAGTGATGTTAAAAATTACAGCTGTGAGATGCTGCGCTGCAATCCTGAAGGTGCGTGGTTTGAATCCACCAGATGCTCTGCTGGAGAAGGAGGGGCAATCTCCTCCTGTGCCAGTTGCATCTGGTTCGGCGGTACACAGCAAGGAAAAAAAATAAATTACTGCTGTGAGTAACACCAACCCTCGAGATGCCATTGGTCAGCGTTCTCACTAACTTTTGTTACAGCTGTTTCACATCCAGGACTTAATCTTACCCTCAACATTGCTTCCACTGATGCGTTACAATAGCTCTTGATCTTTTGATCAGATTGTTATCTGTGTCTCTTTTCAAAGTCATACAATACCAAGGATGACAGTCTTTCAACTTTAGGCTAGACTCCTAATTTAAAGGTGATTTCAGGGGATGGCTTCAGTCAGAGTTTGAGGAGTAACTCAAGACCAGAGTTTATAGTTTAGTCCCCCATTTCCCCACCCTTCCTTTTAAAAAAAAATCAGGATTCAGCTGCCGTGCTGCTAATCAGCACATCTACTGGGTCCCACTTTGTAATAGGATACAGGTGCCCCCCTTAGTTTGTCTGTAAAACTTTTTAGTGTGTTCATTTATCTGGTCTTCATCGCAAGCATACTGGGGGTGGGAGGGAAGGCAGCCTAGATTCCACTCTTTTGTATGACTCATTGCCATGGAGTCGGAACTGACTCATACCTTACCTTCCAGCACATTTTAGGAGCTTGCAAATCACATGAGAGGAAATTGCCCACCTTTCTCCATCAGAGCTGTTTGTGGACTGAACTCCTTGGTGGGGGGTGGGGGCTGTGGGTTTGCAGCAGCTCTGTAAGCACTTTGCGCCTCGAGCTCAACCATATTCTATAGAGAGACGCTTTTAAGCTTTATCCTGGCAAAGGCCAGTCATTCTGGAATGAGAGAAACCATCACCCTGATAGCAGAGGAGTGAGTCCGCTGAATCACAGCCATGGCCTTTGCATTATACTCATGGATATAAAGAAAATCACCATAACGTGTAATCGGTGGTAGGTTTAATCCATCATTGTTGCAAGTAGGACTACAGAGACAAGTGAAGCACCATGACTGAGATACTCACACTGTTGCAGATTTTAAAGCTTTCACGATTGGTTCTGGGGTGTTAACCACCTGGCTGTGTGATGATGGTCAAGGTGTGAGTCATGACCATGTGGCTCTGAGTCCGTTTCTAGAAGCTTAACTTTTAGCAGAAGGAGGGAA